TAAATCATATCCAATAACTGTAATTTTCGAAAGGTCCACATCCATGTAAAATACCGCCCCAACTACCAGCTTTTATCTCATGGCATTCTAAAGCCTGATATTTCTCAGAAGAAAAAAGGGAAGCTGGACGCCGAACATATATTCCACGCCGATTAGATACTAAACCCTCCGATCCTCCTCCACTCTCTCCCTCACAGTACCACCATCAAGACTCAAAACATTTGGCAACAGAGCATTCTCCAGATCAGCACCCCGCCTCTGGAACTCCCTCCCCCAATCTGTCCGCCACTCTCCCACACTGTCTACCTTCAAAACCCAGCTGAAAACATACCTCTTCTCCCAAGCCTTCAACTTACCCTACCCCCCAACCCACTGACTTCACTCACACCCCACGCTGTATCTCTTATTCACCCCACGCTGCATCTCTTATTCATACATTCATCAACTTTTTCTTTCCTCTTTTCCATTATGTTGTCTTTTGCTCGTTGTCCTATGCTTGCTCCCCCCCTGTGTTGTCCTTTGCCTGTTCATGTAATGTTCATGTTCAATTTTCTTGTCCAATATGTTGTCTTCTGCCTGTTCACCCCCTTTCTGTACTTTTAATTGTTTTTGTAAGCGACTTTGGGTTATTGAAAAGCGCTATATAAATAAAAGTTATTATTATTATTATTATTACCATTTGGGTACTTACAGTTCAATGCATTTTGCCATACTTGGCATTGGGATGCAATTATGAACTCAAAAACAGCCCATGTAATTAAAGAAATACGCTATTTGAGACACAACATGTGTTGAAAATCAACCCAATCAATGAATTACCACCAGCCCATGGGGCACTGACCTATAACCAGCAGCATGCCAGCCACCTCAGCGTTTCCATATCCATTCCACACTTCACACACATAAGTCCCTGTGTCGCCGGGCTGGGCTCTCTCTATCAGCAGGCCTGTCACACTCTGTCTGAAGCGAGGGTCTGGCTCCAGCGGCCGGTTGTCCTTTAGCCAGCGGTATTTGGGTGCGGGGTGACCGGAGGCCTTGCAGGGCAACTCCACTCGATGAGAGCCCATGACCTCACGACGCTCGAAGCTGTCCAGGATGTGGGGCGCTGAGTTGGTGGGGTCTGCATGAGCGAATTAGGGTACAGTAAGAGATTTTTGTTATTTTTGTCTCAACACTCAAAACAAATAAACCACATTCTGATACCGAATAACAGGGAGATTTATGTTTTATCTGGATTAACTCCATCATGCAACTTAATATATTTTCTGTTGAGACCCAATGTGCCCTTCGGACTGTTTTAAACCTAGTCCAAGAGGACCTCATGTTTTCACTGGTTTAGTAGAACCCCTCGTAACAAGTCAACTCTTAAAGTGTAAAGTATTTCCCTTTGTATGGGTTTGAGGTAAGGGAGGAGATGTTCTGTCCTGAAGCCATCCTTACAAACTCTGATGGCCTTTATCACATGTCATCTCCTCTTTAATTCATGTATGTTTGCTGTCACTCTCCATTCAATCACATATTCCAGATTTTCTTTACATTCAAAGATGTATTTTTCCAATTGGTCTGCTGTCACTCTGTCCTTCCAACCAGAATCAACATTTAAATCAAAATCTAAATAAAACCAGATCATCTAATACTGAACACATTATTGGCTTTTTACAGTAAAACAGATTAGATCCAAAAAGAACAATTTGAAAGAGCTACAGAATGTGATGCTAATGCACAATTTTAACAATGCATATAATTGTGTTTGAGTTACCTGAGACAATGAGGCGGGCACTATTGCTCTGTCGAGTCTCTCCTGTGTACCGATGGCGTGTCATACACCTGTAGTTGTACAGCCCGTCTTCCATTTGCACATCCAGGATATACAGGGCTCCCGTGGATGTGATGAGAAACCGTGACACTGGAAAATAAAACATCATTCAACATTACTGATGAACAATGCAATTTAAAACAGCTACCCATGAACATGGCTACTGCCTATGGGCCAACCAGAGTCCAGATATTTCACCTTTATTTGACCTCCAAGCTATGTATGGTCAATCAGAATAGTGTTGAACAGTGTTGAGCTTCTAGAGTCTGTACAACACAGTCCATCTGAGAGCGAACACAGCCTGCAGACTGAACGCTCGACTGCAGGATCTGTCACCTGTCCTCATGTAATGACTCCCGACTCAGCTTGCTGTACATTGTATTCTTAAGTAAGAGCAGTAAGTGCTTCAAGGATGTTGTTTATGGTTCTGTTTTTACAAATGGCACTTTCTAAACAAATAGTTACAGTAAATAGATTACAGAAAACAGTAAATAAATTGGTTCTTAATGTAGAAAATACAAAGTGTATGGCATCTGATTCCAAAAGCTGCACAAATGTTACACTTGACGATAAAAATAATTAGATATTCACGTAACAGATGCAAGGCTATTAGTGACTGTTGATAAGAAAATGTCTTAGATCAAATGGTGGTAAAAATGGGCTGCTATAAAACACTATACATCATGTCTGCAAAGGTTTTTTTCATCAATAAAAGCATTGAATCATACAGTTGTATCAGGAATAATGATTTGGCTTGGTTAAGCGTAAACAAACAATACATATTATTCTCTAGTATGCCCCATTACAAATATCACTATACCTCAATGAACTGCTGTGCAGACAGACATCAATATTCTATTCAACAGTCATCAGAAAAGTTTATTATGGTGGCATGGAATTCATTACAAAGTGTGTTTGATTCCTAAATATGGTAATTGATAATAAAAGGAATAGAGTAGAAAATTCAAAAAAATATTGTTATATCTTGTGATATAAATGAAAAGAGCTATCTATGATGTAGTAGATACTTTGCTATGTTATTTATTCATTTTTAAATGTCACATTGTGAGCAGGAGTGTTAAGGATGTGTAATATTAAAAATACAAATGTTGAGAGAGAATGCGGATCTATATATACACATTAGCAGTACTGACACAGGAACAAGATACTGGATCATATATCGTTTTTTAACAATGAATGTTGGGACCTCACAACAAATCAATACAATCCTGAAAATGTCTGAAAAACTGCAAGTGAGACATGAAACAAACAAAAAAGAATAAGTTGCCTCCAGATTTCATCACAGGAGACAACCAACATCTTATAACCAATAACATTCTACAGTCCTCCTGTGTGTATTCAGTCTCATGCACTCGAATACCTTAAATACAGATACAGAAAATCCAATTTTGAAGTCTCTTAGCAAATATTTGCAAGTCAAGTGAGTAACGCAGCTCTGTGGTTGTAGTCACCAAACATCTGCTGCAGCCCATTTGGCGCGGCGCAGCTCTGAGGCTCTGTGACAAGGCTGTGTGTTGTGCAGCAGTGTAACACAGCTCGTTATCATGTAGCTCATCGCTCTGCTCTCTCTCCCTCGCGCTCTCTGAGGGATCACAGAGCGCTTTGATAAGCCATGGCTGCGCAGGTCTGCTGTGCTCATATAATGCTAATGTTATGCTAATGTGTGTGAACGCATAGAAGTGGAGGGAGGCAGTCCGTTTTTATGAGGAGTGATGTGTGTGCTGTAGCCGGTGGCTGCCGGGGTATTTCCTGTCAGCGATGATGGAGAAGCCAATCTGGGAAGGGGATCAAGTGGGGCCGCCATATGCTCGGGGATTAAGGCAATATTGGTAGAGATATCATAATGCAGACTTTATGGGGTGTTGAATTACTCTCATTTTGTCTTGTCATGACAGTTTAACCAGATGAAGGCTGCTGGTACCAGCCTGTGCACAGGTTGCTGGTACCAGCCTGGGCACAGTGTATGCTAGACAAATGGAAGGAGGTGCAATTTATGATCATTGTATTACATGCAACAATCAATCATCCATTACTGCAAACATCATCAACATTTATTTTGGTTTCTCAAGAAAATCTCTAGAAATCTGATTGGCCACTTCGAGATTCTTACATTCGCAGACAATGGATGGAGTGGCGACTTCCAACATGTTTACAGACGACAGTAATGGTGCAGTGAGTAAGGAGAAATAAGAGGACAGAGAGGAGTGGGAGGAGAAACTGAGAAGTAGAGGAAGAACACAGGGAAGAACAAGAGGTAGTACACACTCTTATTTTGACTAGTGCAATATCCAAATTGCACTAAAGGTAATATGTAAAAATATAATTTTGACTTAAGTATTGTGGGGCTGCAGAGATGTTCTGGCTGCTTACAATATGACTTTTTGTATTTAAGTGTACATTTCAGACCATGCCTTCACTTCATCTACTGTCAGTTGTATCCTCTTCCCTTCGTCGGCCCGCCCAGCTGCTTTGGCATCGATGAAGTCACAAACACAAGACCCTTTCATTGGATCCCTACTCAATAGCTTCAATTATTTCCCATATACGCCACACTAAACCTCCAAGAAGACTCTTTGTTCATTCAAATTTCACTTTACTCTTCCCTCAAACATAACTTGTTTGTGAGACTTAATTAGAACAGTAAGTAAAGACTGAATCATATCCATACAATGACATCGTTAATATTTGCAGTTTGCTTCTGGTGTAGGGGTAATGTTACTGGAATCACTGGCTAATGTGGCTAGGACTAAAAGGAAATAATTCCCGATCAGGTTTTATTAGTATAATGTGTAGGAGAGAGAGAGACAGAGAGAGGGAGAATAAAGGATCAAGAGGGAAGAGCGCCTCTGGGATACATCCACTCTCTGTCATCTAAAATGACTTACAAATTAGCTTACAGCTATGCGCTCCCAGTGACGAAAAAAAGACTTTCATATGCAAAGTCAGATCAGAGCTAAGCAGAGCAATCAAAAGAAAATCTGTCAGTATAACAGATCTGAAGCCAGTCCCTCTGTCTTTGCTCCTAACACTCTATGCTGTCAGTACTGCATATGAGATGTGGTGAAGATATTGTAAGAAGCTACTGACTAAAAACTGACTTGAGTAAATCTGTTTACATATTAGCAGATCTGCATGCAGTGCAATCCTCTAAGTGTTTCATTGTTTACAGTACAGTATACCTATAAACTCCTTGTGTCACCTGAGCTCAGACTGCTATTTTCTCTTTGTCTCAGTCATGGTATTATTTAGATGTCAGTGCTGCATTTGTCATAGTTGATGACAGCATATTTATAGACTGACTGGAAACTCAGAGGGGCCTTCTGCCACAGTAGTAAATCAGTTGGAATCCTAATAAAAGGATAGGAAAATCTTTCTTTCTATGGGTGATTACACATTTGAGCGGTAAACTATGACATGCGGAGTTCCTCAAGGCTACATCCTGGGGCCCTTTTATCTTTAACATCTACACGCTTCCGCTGGCTCAGATTATGGAAAACAACAACACTAGGGGACTATGTTTCAATAAAAGCACTGAGTAAGTCAAATGAATGACTTCCACATACTAGTGTTGGTTTATAAAGCACTGAATGTTTTAGGGCTAAAATACTTTTCTGATCTTCTACTCCATTATGAACCATCCAGAACGTTCAGGAAGTCTGGAACAGGTCTGCTTTCTGTCTCAACAGTCAAAACTAAACATGGAGAAGCATTATTGACTGATTTGACATGTATTTAAATGTAATCTTAATGCATTTAATATGTGTTGTAAAGCACTTTGAATTGCCTTCTTTATAAATAAAGTTGCCTTGCCTTTGAACTTTCAATGCTCTGACCTATCAACACCAACAGTCTGGACGCCCCTTGCAGGAAACCCGTGGAGTCAGCTAAACAATGCAGATAAATTGCTTCCTCATCACTCTGCTGGCAGTGCACTCCCTCCCCCTGTGTAACTGTCTTAGAGTGTATTAGTGAGGGGAGTGTGGTCCGTGGAGACAGTACAGTGTCCCCGTAACCTTGGCTACTCAAAGTCATACAGCATGAAAAATAATAGGGTTGCTGCTCATACAGTCGCAGCATCAATCTCTAACTACGATTCACTAAAACAATTATCTTGAGGTGGTAAATTAATAGAAAAACATAGGGTGCGGTAATACTTCAAACATTTTCTTTTTGAAAATGTGTCTTGACAAGATATTTTAAGATGAACCCACCAATTAGCAGTGTAAGATGTAATTTGTGCTTAGAATTTATTTATAAATAAAATAATTTTTAAAAAAATTGGGAGGATGTTGGTGTTGCATACTCAATAATCTGCATCAAAAGTAATGCAATTCTCTAATTTATTTACGTTTGCATCAGTAACATTCAAAGCAACAATATTTAACAATATGTGTCTCTTATTATGATAGACACACAACATGGAACTCCCTGATGATGAGTGTTTGGAAATTGTATTGATGTAACAGTTACACATTCATCAAATAGATTCTTGATTCACTGTCAAATTGAATTCACATTTAGTAAAATGGAAACTGCCGCCATAACACCAGCGCCACATTGTTTCCCACTATGAAAATGTCACACAGTGACTGGCGCCAGAATGCAGAGTGGTGTGTGAGTAATAATGAGTGTATGATGAGCCCAGGAGGGCCTGTGTTGTAATTAGGCCCGCTCACAGTTATTGGCACACTGACTCCAGTTTGATCAGGCTGGGATAAGCATGTCTATGGAGCGGGGGATCCAACCAATTTAGAGACCCTCTAATAAAAAACATTTGTCATTCTTACAGGAGGCAACCTGACAGCTGCTGTGGTTGGCATGGCAACACAAAGACCTCTGTTGCTTACCAAGCAAGATTCCCAGAGTGTACTGTAAATGGTGCAGGGGAGGAAACACACAGGTATACTGTCCAGTAAAATGTTTCAACGCTTACACACATGCAAAATAAATATATCAAAATAAAGTGAGAAAATAAAGCAATTTTTCTTTTACTTTGATTTCAATTATCATTCACATAATAAATTGTGCTGAAAGGTGTACAATAGGATTTAACCTATTGTTCTATAGACTCTTCATAGATGTTTATATTATACATACTTGTTTATCTACATGACCCATCCTTCATGGTTGTCCAGACACATTAATAAACAAATACCCAAACATTCCGGTATGATAAACCATTATCATCCATACAAAACAAATCATTGAAATGTTTCATTTTTGATTTATATATTGCTATTTGCGTCAGTAAACATGGCATTTATTGCATGTCTATCAGACCTGGAAAAGGGGTTCCTCCTTCTTATCATGTGAGCTATTTACTTTAAGCAACTGTAACAAAAACCTATTTCCTCTAGTATAACTTAAGTGTTCTGATTCTGATTTTTCTCTGATCAATGTTTCTTTCTGTTTTCCTTGTCAAAGGTTTTTATTCTGGAATCATTCCTTGGGAATAAATTGCCTAAATTTTTCTCTGCCCTCCATAAAGACTTTGAAGTAAATTGGGCCCCAGTGAGTACACAAATACAGGAATACAAAATATACGCACACAAACCAAGCACCTCTCCTCCTTTCTCTTCACACCTGAGCTACAAACCTGAAGCAGTGCGGGTCTGCTTGCTGCGTAGTTGAGTCAGATAAAATGGCTGGAATTTTTATTACTGCTCCCAATCAGCGGCAGCATCCCTCTGCTCATTAACTAGACCCACGCTAGCCCGGGGCTAACAGCCTCATATGTCAACCACAGATAAAGATGTCATTTTCTGCTTGACTGAATAAACCGCTATTAAAACTAGATGCAAATGGACGTTGAACGATATTCAAATCAAGAGGCAACAGGGAAGCTTAAACCCTGAGGCGCTTGGCCTCGACGCTGCCCCACATTCCTCTGTCGTGTTAAAACGAAGAGCGATTTTAGATACTGTCAGAGTGATGTGGAAAATCACAGAGAGCCATGAAACAATACAAGAAGGGCATTAATAATCAGTAATGATTTATTATAGATCATTTAGATGGCATCATTTAAATGTCACAATCTTTAGCAGAATTGAAGTTTTATTCAGGTGCATTTGGCTTATCACCACTGGACACCAACAATGCCAACCTCATTTTCAAACTAACAATACAATACGATGCGACACGATGTGATGTGACACCATACGATACCATATTGTACCAAACTATACCATATTATACCGTACTATACTATACCATACGAGATATGGTATGCAGTTCCACAAAAGCTACAATAAAGCATACTTCATAGTATACAATAAAAGACGTTAACTATAACACATGACTAATGTACATATACACAGTTACACAGTAATGAGACAGATGCACTGTCAAAGGAGAGGTTATTGCACAACAACTTTACATCTATCCTTTAGTCTTCAGAACCGACCAATGCTGACATCACTCGAGATCAGATTTCACACTACTCCCTCTGGAAACACAGCCGGTTTTGTCCAGTGTTTTTATCTTAGCTCCCCAATCGGAACCACTACTCCTGCGTTCCTGAGGGCACACCTGCCTGTGTAGCCGGAGCGATGAAACTCTATCTCATCAAACTGAATCAAGCCATGAACAGTGTAATACTACACCAGCTATTCTCAACCAGCTGTGTAAGCACTTTACCACCAGACAGATGTTTGTCTGCTGAAAGCACAACTGAGGAGGGAAGTCTCCAGCACAACAGCTATCCAAGTGTGTGTGTTTCTATCAGTGGTGTGTGTGTGGATGCATGTGGAGCCTAATTAGCCAGAACTGGAGTCCAGCTATTAAAGCCCTGATGGCTGTGTGTTTACAATGCTATCATTGGCCTCTCTCTGGCTAACGCTAAATGAAGCAGTGTTGAGCCTCAGCTGTATACTCATGAATATTCATGGCTCTGTCTGTGAGAACCTGTGTGTGATGCACCGGCAGGCATAAAGGAAGCTATTACTATCTACTCAATCACAATCTGTCACTTTGTCTGGATGATCAGTCAGCCCGACAACAATTCCAGAAGAAATATGACCTAAGTAGTAGCTCATTTTACATCAACATGTATTTTTTTTTCTAGCTCAATGATCCAAAATTGATATACATATCCGTTTAAGTCAAGTATTGTTCTCTACCTTTTTTATTGCTGAAGTGTTTCATGAAAATGCGAGCTAGATTGTACAAAACAATTGCAATTTGTATATGCTTATTTAGGTTTTCCAAGACAAAATAAATTGCATTTAGTTTGTTTTAGATATTCATATTTTATTATGTACCTTTAGATCTGATACTTTTACATTTGAAATATGCATATGGTAGTTTCCTCTGATGAGATTATGTTGCAGTCCTTCAGAGTTTCCTGAAGACAATCAAAGAGTGCATTGTGACATCTGCACTATATTTAAACAATCACTTGTTCGTGCTACGAAGATTTAACAAATACAATTCTTTTTTGTGATGAACTATGTGAGCAACTGTAAGAAACAAGTGCTTTAAATCCACCACCATTTGTTGATCTCACTGA